AATTTTATTTTCAAATGAATGATCGGGGATGGTTTTGGCATTGACAAAAATGGAATTTTATTAGAATGATAAGTTGGAAAATAAATGATGGATGATGAAACATGCAAGTAATTTGTCCAATTAAAAAAAAAATAATTTACATAATGGAAACAAAAATGGTAGTATTAAAATAAAGTGTGTCGTAAGAAAAATAATGTAGCCAAATTAACAAAAAATTTTGTCGGTTAAAAGCGATTTTAACACCTTGTAAAATTTAAGAAAATCAAGTACGTGAAATTTTACTTTCGTGACCAAAATTTAATTTGGACTATTAGGAAGTGTCGTAGCGACAAAATAATATAACCCCAATTATTCGCTACAACTCTCCCCACTTAAAATAATTTCGTCCTCGAAATTTAACTTACTTGTTTTACGGAGATTGGGGTACTTGGCTAAAATGTCCTATTCTCGTTCCCAAGTAGCCTCATTCTCACCATGTTTACTCCACTGGACTTTGACTAGTGGGACTTTTTGATTTCTCAGGATATGGTCCTTTCTCTCCAGAATCACTGTAGGAGCTTCCTCATAAGTCATATCACTCTGGACATCTAGTGATTGAACATTCACCACATGATTAGGATCCGGAATGTACTTTCTCAACATAGAAATGTGAAATACGTTGTGCACTGCTGAAAGCTCGGGTGGCAATGCTAATCGATATACCACATTCCCAATCTTTTCAAGAATCTCAAATGGACCGATAAATTTAGGACTTAGCTTCCCTTTCTTTCCAAATCGTAGTATTCCCTTCATTGGTGCCACTTTGAGAAATACTTTCTCTCCAATCACGAAAGTCAATTCTTTTCTCCTTTTGTCAGCATAACTCTTTTTATGATCTTGGATAGTCTTAATTCTTGATCTAATTTTATTTATAGCCTCCATAGTCTTCTCGACCAATTCTGGGCCTAAAATTCTCCTTTCACCAACTTCATCCCAATATAATGGTGAACGACATCGTCTACCATACAAAGCCTCATACGGGGCCATGCCAATAATGGCTTGAAAGCTATTGTTGTATGTGAATTCAACCAACGGCAAATGATCTTCCCATTTACCACCCAAATCTAGGACACAAGATCTCAACATATCTTCAAGAACTTGTATAGTTCGTTCAGATTGTCCGTCAGTCTGAGGATGATATGCAGTACAAAATATTAACTTGGTACCCAGAGCTTTTTGAAGACCTATCCAAAACTTCGAAGTAAACCTCAGGTCTCTATCTGATACGATAGATGCGGAACACCATAAAGTCGCATAATCTCCCTGACATAAATTTGTGCAAGCTGTTCTAAGCTGTAAGTTGTCTGAATTGGCAAGAAATGAGCAAATTTTGTAAGTCGGTCCACAATTACCCAGATCGCATCATGACCTTTCACTAATTTAGGAAATCCAATGACAAAATCCATTGCAATCTTTTCCTACTTCCATTCTGGTATGTCCATGGGGTTCAACAGTCCGTACGGCCTCTGATGTTCGGCCTTCACTTGTTGGAAAACCATGTATTTGGACACAAACAGAGCTATCTTCCCTTTCATATTTCTCCACCAAAATGTATTACGCAAATCTCGATACATTTTAGTTCCACCTGGGTGGGCAACGTAAGGAGCTGAGTGAGCCTCAGTCATAATTTCATTTCTCAACGCTTCATCCTTTGGCACGCACAATCGACCCTTTAGCATCAACGCTCTATCTTTGGCTATTTCAAATCCCTTCCTCTTCTCAGTTCCTACCTCAACCCTGATCTTTTCCAAAAAAAGGATCATCTTTCTGAGCGGCTACTATTCTATCCCTGAGTGTCGGTTTCATAGTAAGACTTGCTAACTTCACCGATGTCCTTACTAGTGACGTTAATACTTCAATTATCAGGTTTTCAAAATCTCTTATTAAATGATCCTGTCTTGTACACAATGCTGACAACTGTTCCATATTCATTCTACTCAATGCATCAGCATCTACATTAGCCTTACCCTGATGGTACAAGATAGTGCAGTTGTAATCTTTCACTAACTCTAACCACCGTCGCTGTCTCATATTCAACTCCTTTTGGGTGAAGAAGTATTTGAGACTCTTATGATCGGTGTAGATCTCACACTTGCTCCCATATAGGTAGTGGCACCAAATCTTCAAGGCTTACACTATCGCTGCTAGTTCAAGGTCATGCATGGGATAATTCAGTTCGTATTGCTTCAACTTCCACGAAGCGTAAGCTATCTCTTTCCCATGTTGCATCAAAAGACATCCTAAACCAAGCTTGGATGCATCACTGTAAATCACAAAACCTTCTGAACCATTGGGAATAGTCAAAATCGGCGCAGATACAAGCCTGTCTTTTAACTCTTGAAAACTTTTTTCGCATTTCTCTGACCATACAAACTTAGTACCCTTCTGAGTCAACTGTGTCATAGGACCTGCAATCTTGGAGAATCCTTCTATAAATCGCCGATAATAGCCGGCTAACCCTAGAAAGCTCCGCACTTCTCCAACATTTATAGGTTTCAGCCAATTTGTTATGGCCTCAACTTTGGATTGATCCACTTCAACTCCTCGTGCTGAAATAGTATGGCCTAGAAATCCCACTCGATCAAGCCAAAATTCACATTTCTTGAATTTGGCATACAACTTTTCGTGACGCAGGGTTCCTAAAACTATCCTCAAATGTTCTTCGTGTTGTAGGGAATCTCTCGAATATATTAGTATGTCGTCAATAAATACGATGACAAACATGTCCAAATACTGATGAAACACTCTATTCATCAAGTCCATAAACATCACAGGGGCATTCGTCAAGCCAAAGGGCATCACCGTAAACTCATAATGCCCATACCGAGTCCTAAATGCCGTTTTTGGTATATCAACCAACTTAATCTTCAATTGATGGTAGCCCAACCTTAAATCAATTTTTGAGAATATGGATGCACCCTTCAATCCTAAGAAGATGATACTTATTTTTTATTGTCAACTTATTCAATTCACGGTAGTCGATGCACAGCTTCATAGTACCATCTTTCCTCTTTACAAAGAATATTGGAGCTCCCCATGGAGATACACTCAGTCTAATAAACCCTTTGTCTAGAAGTTCTTCTAGCTGCATCTTTAACTCTTGTAATTCCTTTGGTGCTTTTCGATATGGAGCTTTGGACACAGGAGTAGTTTCAGGTACCAAATCTATCGTGAATTCCACTTGTCTATCGGACGAAATACCCGGTAGATCATTGGGAAACACGTCAGCATACTCCCGTATTATTGGCACATCATCCAATATTTTATCTTAAGATGAGGTGCCGATAAGACTGAGAAAATACCCCTGGCAGTCAGGCTTTCTCAACATGCTTTTTGCCTTCAAAGCTGAGATGACGCGAGGAAGTGCCTTAACCGTCGATCCATAAAATCTGAATTTCTTTTCTCCCGGTCTTTGAAAAATTACCTCTTTCTCTAAACATACTATCGTGGCTCGATTTTTACCTAACCAATCCATGCCTAAAATAATATCAAAGTCTTTCATCTCTATAACATACAAGTCAGCCTCTAAAGTCAGTCCATCAAAATTTATCTATACCTCTTTAACTCCCTAATTGTCCTAACTTGCACCATATTCTTATATACCATAATAGTTGCAATCTCATTTAGAGGAGTCAACAATACTGGTGCAACATAGGAGAAAGATTTATAGTTCGACATCTGTTACTTTTATATCAAAAGGAATCCTACTAGACATCAACAATAATTAAACCTAATACAAGCCACTAATTAAACTCCACTCTTCTATTCATCACTACCATCATCGTCACTAATCAAGAATCCATGAATCCTAGATTTCTTAGAAGGCTATGCCTCATCTCTAAAATAGGTGGGTATACATCTTCATGAATTTACATCTCAATAAGTACACTATCATTTGCGGGGATCGCAAGTCGCAGCTCTCACTGCTCAAAAAATCTTTTATTATCATCTAAATAAAATCCTTCAAGAGGAATACAAAGCAATAACAGAGCGTCTGACGCTCATCAGCGGGAAAACAAAGGAAATCCTACTAGACATCAATAACAATTAAATCAAATAAAATCTACTAAGATTTTGATTCTTTAATCATCATCATCACTAATCCAGCGTCCATGAACCCTAGGTTTTTTTAGAAGGTTGTGCCTCGTCGTCTGAAATAGGTGGAGGTGCATCATCATGAATGTAAATCTCAGTAGGTACACTATCATCCTCAGGGTTCGCGAGTCGGGCCAACTCCCACTGATCAATCAACTCCATGCAAAAGGCCTCATAGTTAATCTCTCGAGGCAAAGTAGGCA